GTGAAACACCGCATTGTTTATATACTTCTATTTTTGTACAGACTACACAAATGTGATATAACATGTTAATTAATGAGTTTCAGAGGTGCTACTGGTGGGATTTTGTTACCTTTTGACAGAACCAGACTTGCCCTGTTCTCCTATTTCCAGCGTTTCTGCTAAGCTAAGCTAACAAGCTGCTGGCTGTAGCTTCATATTTATTCATCAAATGCTCAACAAGAAAGCGAAGAAGCACGTTTCCCTACTGTAATTAAACGAGATAAAACATGACCACTGGCTGCCTTTACTTGTAGGATCTTACAGTTCTTTTCTTCGGGAGTATCCCTTACCCCTGATCAGCAATAGGTACAACACCATTTACTATACATAAAATACACCTTCAGTTTGAGACGAGCCCATCTGTCTCTCTGTCACGCTGTTAGTAAGAATATGATAGTAAACTTGATCTACAGAGGTGTGGTCCAGTTGAGATGGATAAGGTTTCCTATTCATCCCAGTGTCCTATGGCCTACTTAATGAGCTTCACTGGGACTCTTCTCAACGACTTCAGTCAGCAGCCTTACAGTTACATTAACACACGGAGTATAAAAGGTCTATCTGAACACAAGTGAGCGCTACAGCCTGTTCTGAAAACACACACCCTGTTGATTATGGCTTTTGATCAGCATCTTTCACACAGGTTCATTTTCATCCTACTCAGTTACTGTTCCTGGACAGCCATTGTTAACCAAACAGTGGTGTGATTCTTAAGGTCATTTCAGGATTTTTTTTTTTTTTTGACACACAACTCATTCATTTCTCACGAGCCTGCCTCAAAGTCAAAGTCTGACTTCTAAAAAAAGAAAATGACCCTTGTTCACTCCCCTCTGGGCTGAATTAAAAGAGCTGCCAACAACAGGCCGCCTCAGTAATCTGTGTAGGTGTGTGGTCTGAGATTAAACAGTAATGGTTTTGGGCTTCATGCCTACTAGTGCCACTCTTGGATGTTTTTGTGGCTTGGGCCAAAGGGAGTATGAAGCCATTTAATAGCCATCATTAACTGATAGCAGAGATGACTGTTTTCTGTGCAAGCTGAGCTGATGCCACCTTATTATAGGCACATAGGATCCTTACTAGAAAGGGCTGTAGAGTTATTATTTTCATGACATCTTGAGTCTAAAGTCCACCACACCACTGGAGACATTTTTTGATGACCCACCATCAGAACAATACAACAGAAGTATTCTTTATCTCTTTACATACATTATGGTCTGCTGCCAGGTATGTAATTCTGGTGCTCCTTTTGGTTCAATTTATTTGAAAAAAGCAGTCAAATATAGTCTACATAACAGAATAAGCCTTAAAACCCCAACATTTATGATGTGTACAAACCTAGAATGTAAACTTCTCCTTGTCTCATTAAATTTCCTGGATATATTACAGAGGACGCGACCTTAGTGCTCTGAGTGGTATCTATAAGACATGCTTATAGACACTTAAAGGACCCCTAGTTGAAACGTATCTAATATTTTATGATTAGGGCCAGGTATAGTAGAATCGAAAGTTGCCATTGGATGCCTCGTCAGATTCTTAATCATTGATCAGACATTGCCTCATTTAAACGCTGATTTCTCCTACATGCTTGGCACATCGGAGAAGTTTTAGTTCTGCAACCTCACCGCTAGATACCACTAAATCCTACACACTGGACCTTTAAGAAAGTTCTTATTCGGCTGCTTTAAGTCCAGACAAAATTAAACATGTAATTGGAAAGAAATTGGTTCTTTTTTTTTCAAAGAAGAGCTTTTTGGGAGAAAAAAAGGTTTCTATTTTTGAGGGTGCCGTTCTGGTTTTGGTATCACTGGCACCAGTATTGAAACCCTTGAACAACACCTCACACTTATCATAATTTTAGCTTTTTTTTTATAGCTTTTAAACTTTTTTAGCTATATATATATTCTTTTGTTTTCCACTGCCTCTGACTGAATCTTTATTTGGTGTTTTTAATGGCTGTATTTTAAATCTAATGCCTCCTTTGCATTATGTAAGCCATCTTCAGTGCTTTTTGTAAGACATGTGCCACATAAATTAACTCAGCCTGCCTTGAAGAAGTGAAGAAGATATTAAAAATTTTAAAAATTCAGTAAAGTTCATGCTGCTCAATAAATCGCTCAAACTGACTTATAAAAGCAATGAAAATCAATCAGCAATTTTGCTGTAAATGTGAAGCTCGCGTCAAAACAAGCAGATGTAGGCTTTTGCAACATCTATTTTCCCAAAGGCAAAAAGAAATCAAGCTGTTGTCAAACATTTCAAGCTGCTGGCACAGGCACAGCAGCTGTCAGGATGGAGAAACAATCTGGCCCATCTCTGAAATGACCAGCTCCATTTAACAGCCATTTGAGGCCTGATATACCAACTGTGAAAATAAGCGTGCACACACCCAGGGTCCAGCAGGGGAAGAGGCTCATCACTGTACCAGGGCCACACACACACACACACACACACACACACACACACACACACACACACAGGGCTGACCACCACCCACTGCTGCCTGCGACAACACCAGTAAAACCAGCGAAAAACAAGACAACTGCTACTGTCAGCCTTGGTGCACACATGGCCAGCAAACCAGAGCAGGTGTGTGTGTGTACAAATCTAGCAGGACATGGTTGAATCAACAGGCCCTGTCCTCTGCTCAGCACTGTGATTCAAAGAGACCCCTGCACACAATCTGTCTTCATATCCAAACAAAGTATTGAGGAGACAGGAAGTGGCTCAATGAGCTGAGATGATGAGATAGATGTGGTTCAGATACAGGACTCTGGTCCATTAGGCAGTGCAGAGCCTATATATTTCATTATAAATCCAGTTAGAGAAACATGTTTAAGAGCCAGTTCACCCAAACCATAAACAATATTACCCTTATAGTTGTGTCTAGTCATGTAGTCTCAGTTTTATATCCTCAGGTTTTGAGAAATCTGCTGCTGAGACTGAGTGCAAGTTAATGTGTGGGTTTCTGAGCATTTAAAATGACATTTGAGAAACTCAACAACAGCATGCCCTTTGAGGAGCAGTATACCAAGTTATACTAAATTATAAACAGATGTATCAGACAACAGTTTTTACTAGGAACGGTTCTCTACCCATTGAAAACAGCCCACACACTGTTAGCATGGGCATTAGCCCTCCTAAAGAGAATGGAGACATCCTAATTGATGTTTTACCTTTAAAGCCATCAAGGTTTGCACTACAGCTGATATACTTGGTTAACCTGGTTAGTTGAAGGACAGAAACTAAACTGGCATCGACTTACTGATGACTCATTTTTCATACTTACTAGTTTCTGGTAGGGATGGGACGATTTTCGATGTTAACACAGATAAAAAAACACTTTCAAAAACTCAATCGTGGTGATTTTTCATTATCAGGATAAATGTGAATATTGTGTCCATTTGCACCCAAAGAGACTGCTGGGTACAATTGCAATGATTTATCGTTTAGTTGTCAACTCTTTGATTAGTCGGCAGTTAATTTGATCATTGATTAATCAGCTCAAGTATTTTTTTAAATTTAAAAAAAAAAAAAATCTGAATTCTCTGGTTCCGGCTTCTTAAATTTGAATGTCTTCTGGTTTCTTTACTCTTCTATGACAGTACACAGAATATCATTGTGTTATAGATAAAACAAGACTTTGATGACATCATCTTGGGCCTTAGGACACACTTTTCGCCATTTTCTTACATTTTATGACCACACAACTAATCGACAAATTGAGAAACTAATCGACCAATCAATTACCAACGAAAATTAACGTTTGTTGCAGCCCTACAGCTGGGCAAAACAATAAAGAGACTGCAAAAACAGGTTGCAAACACACCAATTGCAAAGAACTCAAAAGATCTTCATCAATCATCAGAATATTTCATATGTAAAGAACTGATGCTGTTTCAAATAGTGGAAGCACCTGGCTTTTAGGGATTGAAACATTTGCTTCTCAACAACATGTAAGGTAAAGTGACCCCAGTATATTTTAAGGTCATTTCAGAGTTTTAAGCTTTCTTTAATGATTGTCTGGCTAATATAGTGAATCGCAGTTATTTTTGCCAGGACAATCATGACTTTATGATATTTTCTCTGTGTCATATCATTGTAAAATAAATATTTAAGCTCTTTGACAAACCTATTTTGCACCTACAATGTTATTAACCAGATGTCATTACAGTTGTGGCAACAGATGAATGATTATAATGCCTTCTGCTTTTGCTTCCAGTATAAAATGTTACGACTGTTTGCTGATAATATAATTTTACAGCTTGTATTTCCTGCTATCTATTATTTCTTGAGTCAGACATTGAATACATGTTTTCATCTTAACAATGCTGTGTTTTATATAGATTAAAAAAGTGTATATCTGTGGGTTTAGGACAAAACAAGCACTTTTTAGAAGTCACCTTGGACTGGATTGGGACCTCTACTATTTCTTGACATTTTAATGACTTAAAGATTAAACATAACATGAAAGCAGTTGGTTTAGGCAATACTGGATAATTGTGTACATGTACTACATCAACATGCATAGTCACATATACTGTGATTTTACTGTAAATTTCCTGTTACAGTCTATTTAAAGTGTCCCTCTGATGCTTTGTGGTATTTTTATGTGCTGTTTTATCACTACAACGTTCCCACTGGAAGCAGTTTACAGTATACTGTGGTACTCTGTATCACTCTGAGTATTTATTGCAGTATACAGTTTATTTCTCGCAAAGAAACTATCTTGCTCACTATAAATAAAGAACATATACAGCCAGCTGCTCTCACTACAGCTGAGGAAATCAGGGCCTGTTGCTACTGCATCAACATCACACTGTTTCAGTTTGGATTTCAACATTTGAACGGCGCAATAACTCAAAAGCCATTTGGACACATTTCCTGGTGGCTGCAGTAACATGGATCAAGAGTCAAACTGCATCAATAATTCAACAATATTCCACATGCACAAAAGGCTAACTTACTGTGAGGCACCGGGAGCATGTAGGGCGAATATAAAGAGTTGTGCGACCTATAAAATGGAAAAAGGAGGGTGTTGGAGTACGGCAGGACAATGGGAGACTCCCAGGCCCCACCGGTCGCGTCCTGATGCCAAATTATCCAAATGCTCGCTCCCTTTCTTCCGCCTTTCCTTTTCCAAACGGGACGCCCTCGCAGTAAATGAATGGACGCACTCAAATTCCCAGCAGTCCTTCACCAGGGAGAAAATTCAAAACCCTCGGCCTACAATCAAACTGGACGCGAGTGTTCCCTCCATGCGCATCTCCCTCTGAACCATTTTCTCCTCTATAAACATTTACAAACACATCACTGTTCCCAAGACGCTTAAAAACGCTCCACACAGCTACGTGGCCTCGGTGAGAACAACAATGGGGCCGATGAGGGTCCTAAACTTCCCTGCGGTTTCAAAAAAAAAAGGCGACCATCGCGTCCCGTCGACTATTGTTTGGGGAAACCGGAGATCTCCGGCGCCCCAAATCCTCCCCTCTCCCTCCGCTGTTAGAGCAGCGCACATGCGCCCATAATCACCACCGGCAGCATTTCAAGACATTTTCCACACAAAAATACTACTTACTTATTCCAGATTGTCCATTCAGGTATTTTCTCACTTTCCACTTTCTTTCCACTCAGCCGTAGCACCGTGCGCCCCGCCTCCGCTCCACTTTGGCCCCTCCTCTGTTTCCCCCTGGGGGACAGAGCCTGTGAAACAGTGTGGTTGAGCCACAACGCATTTATTACCGCACACAGTGATGCTGCTCTGAGGAGAGAAGTGCACAGTATAATGTCACAAAGTAAGTGGGCCCCGTGGCTGCACTATGAAGCTGCTGAAAAAATAACCCTCCAAAACCATCACCACTATCATCATCATCATCATCATCACTGAATGTTGTTTTTATAGGCTGACCTTTATGGAGCTGTAAAGAAACATTTATGTGTCCAGAGCTGCAACATTTAAAGACATTTTGATAGAAGAACCTCTTTACTAACCAAAGAATGAGTCATTTTCCCTGTAATACTCCTGCAAAAATAAATTAAAAGCTGGATGAATCATGTCCTGCCCTCACTTATGTAAAAATCAATGCAAAAATGCTTTTTAACTAATTTCTTTGATGGGATTGATGTTTTTCAATGATTTGGTGTCAGATTATTTAAGAGGCAAAAAGTTACCCCTATTTTGATACATTATATTTACCTTTAGCCAAAGTAGTCTTTTTTCAGCTGGTTAAATCTTACTAAACATGTTCATGTAATGACTTAAAGACTGCTTTAATGTTTCATCTTACTTTGGAGACTTTTTACATGTGTTTTTATGATGTTTTAACATCAAAGGCAAATTTTACAACTGAAATAAATGTCAACTCTCCCTCCACAGGTATTTTCATAATATATACAATTATTTTCTTTCCCAATGTTTCTACTACTCTACTATTTCAACTTCTATGTATCTCTGTAACACACCTATGGCATGTCTACCTGTTAATTTTTTTTTTATATACATTGTGAGTATATTGCAGTTCTCTGAGGAAAAATTTAAATTTTGGGCTCCATACATAAAATGTATTTGACCTGAATAATGATTCGTATAATAATTTCTTTCTGTAACAACAAACCCAAGAGACCACCACAAATTTAAATATGTTGTTTTTTTATGTCTTTGCTTCCCAACCTGAGGTTTGGGACCCACTCAGATAAATCGGAGCATTCACAAGGTTAATTCTGAGATAACACAAACATATTTTAGGTCTTCTACACAAACTTAGAAGTTTTTTTTTCTTTTACTGTTTATCTGATCTATTTAGAGAAATACTGGATATGGTAGTTTTCCATCTTCAAGGCTCTGAGAGTAGAAAACGCCCCTGATGAACTGCACACAGCTCATTGACGTATGACGTTTAAGGGGTCAAAAGGTCAAAAGGCTGAGAACCACTGGTGTCATGTATCCGAAGCGAGACAATTGGGCTTTCTCTGCATGATTTAAGTGCTACACTGAAGTGACAAAAACATATGAACTGTGATTTTTGGCACTCCAAACAACACACAATTCCCAGTATTTGTCCTCAGTTTACTATTTTACATTTTATAATGACACATTTTTGGGAAACAAACCTTCTGCAGAGCACCACAAAAGAAATGACTGAGGGATGACTTCTGATAATAAGTGTTTATTTTATATCATTATTCCTTGTAGCACCTTCTCATCACACCTTGTGGATGATGGGATGACACTTGAGGTGCTTTGATAAAGGCAGGTTTGCTAAAATGTGTTACCACAGAAAAAATGGTTAACCGAGGGCACAGTAAACAACAAAGAAAGAAAAACTGGAAAAGAAGCAATGTTTATTTCTTCATCAAGGCATCACAATTGGTCATTGATTCCAGCCATTACATTACAACAAAATTAAAACCTTCTCGCGTGTTGTCACAATTTTTCAGAAGTTATCACTGAAAGAAACCTTGTGAAAAAGGTACGAACCAAAAAGAGTGCACAGCCAGAGTACCAGCGCATTTTTAGTGTCAAAACACAAGATTTTCTGACTGGATTTTTTTTTTAATTTTTGGCAGCTGATCGATATGAAATAAAGAGTTTGTCAGCTACGCCAGACTCCTTGGGAAATTCCTCTTCCTCCACACAAATATCACAATATGTGAAATTGCAGTGGGTCTACAACTACATACACTTGTAGTTATATGTGTACTGGGACTGAACAATATAAATATTTAGGATTGTTGTCAACATCCCAGGACCTAAAACTTATCAAAATACTTCACCACACATTTCCAGATTCTGCAAAACCTTAAATTTAACTATTTGTTCATTGACTCAAAAAGTGGTTTCTTCTTATTAGAACTGATTTTTAAGTTAACTACATTGACAGAGAAGACAGCTACAGTATTGCACATACCATCGCAATCCTCATACAAAGTTCAGACACACACTCACTCAAAATTGTCCATACACACTGAATCCCACAGTCAATTGCCCACACACTCAGTCACATTTACATATTCACAATCACACACACACACACACACACACACACATACACACGGTCAAAATAATGCTCAATGTTTAGTGCCTATCCCATGACACAGTAAACAAAACATTCTTTGACAATAAAAAGGAAAAAAAAACTAAAATAAAAGAAATATAAACATCTTTTTCCACTGACAGGGCCTGCTGGTGCCTGACCAGTGTTTTCTGACCCTGATGAGTCCAGATCCATCCAGGCCAATCCAGTCCGGTCCAGTCCTCATGTCACGCCTCACCTGAGGGAGTCCATAAACATGGAGTCGTCGTCGAAGTCTTAAAATACCCCCCCCTCCCCCCTCTGCTGCTGTGTCTAACCTGTCTGTGTACCTACTTGTGGTGTGTTTTAAAGAAAAGACCCTGTCCATGTCTGGTTGGGATAGAAGTAGTAGTTGTAGTAGTAGTAGTAGAAGTAGTGGTGGTGGTGGTGGTGGTGGTCGAGGACCAGTGTTGCCGCAGTCTGGATCAGTAGGTGGCGTTGGCGGGTTCCCGCCCTGAGCTGAAGAGTATGTCAGCCTTTGAGCTCATGATGTACGTCACCAGCAAGGATGTTAGCAGCACGCCAACGCCCACGCCCAGCGTCAACATCTGGAGGAGTCAAACAAACACTTAGCCGTTGGGAAAACTTATGAAGAAACTTTAAAGGACCATACGGTGGGTTTGCACGATACTGTTGATGGTTTCTGTAAACCTATCAGAAATGATTGCATTGATTTGTTGTGAGCTGTACATTCAAAACAATGACCTGAAAGATGCTAAAATATAGGTAATACTAGGTAGAGCTGAGGGGAACTGCGGGTTGGGTGAACATTCAAATAATTAATACTTCTCACATTTAATGGAAATTATTCATATAACTGAGTATTCATTTCACACATTACTAGCATAGAAATGTTAGGTAAGTGCAGCTTTAAAGTCACCATGTCCAGAATTTTAACATATCTGACTTTGGCGCCCCCTCTGGTAGTCTCAGAAGTTACATAATGGCAGACGTGATGCATGCTGCTACACTGAAACAGGCTGAAAACAAGCACGCCAATTTTTTACCAGACCTGTCTCATTTTTCCAAAAATGTATTCCATTAGAATCATTTGGAGGATAAAAATTTGACGCACTGTGGCTTTAAATGAAAACCTGACAGTGAGGTGGAGAGTTTTTTTTCATTTCAGTATGATGTGTAAACGAACTTGCAGAGACTTGAACCTTGTTCAAGATGGGTGATCCATCACTGTCAGCATTAAATCTTCTTTGTTTGTGTTGTTACTTATTGCTGGCATTTTGGAAATGCTACTTGTTAGTCTGACTGTGGAAAGTGCTAAATTCACAAACGGTACTGATAGAAAATTGAAGTCAGAAGCCAAACAATAATCAAACATTTTGTGAGAAGGATAAGGTATATTTGGTCACTTTCACATTGAAAAGGGTTTCTTTTTGGCACCCAGTTTTCTCTTCTGGCACTTATCCACCCTAACAAGACAGATTCCTTTCAACAGTCCCTGCTATCCACCATCTGTTGTGTGACAGTACAACAACAAACAGGGACAAGATACTCAGTATGATGGATCACCTTTATCACGCATGTTTCAAGTCTCTGCAAGTTCATTTTTCACATCCTGCTAAAATGAAGAAAAACAAAAAGCTGCCTGGAAAGTAGGAACTCTCAAAACTGGTCTGTGTTGATCAACTGATCACTTATTCTTCCCGTGACCTGGAGGGTTGCACACATATTACATTGTCAAAACGTCACATCCATGCCGCCCATGATCCCGTCCTGCCGGCTGTCCCTTTCAGAACGATGAGGTGGCCTAACAATGTTAAAGGGGCTTTAGGTGCTGTGGGAAACACTGTGGAACCTGGGAGTATGTTGCTTTTATAATGGTTTTACTTTTCACAGCTGAAACCTCTTCCTGCTCTGTCCACTACCTGCTCTAGGAAAGAACGATGTTTGCCAGCGTTCTACCTTACAGACTTCCTACACTACGAAAATAACGAATATTCCATTAGAAGAAACCACAGAAAATTAGCTAAGCGTAATTGTGAGCTAAATCTGCATTAACTATTTTTGTTTGATTCTGAGGAGTTTACCTCGAGTTCGTGACTCGCCACCAGGAATATGCGTCCTTTGATGGACTTCCATCGGGATTCTGTCCACGTTGAATAATCTTTGGAGGTGAACTCCCGCAGCTCAAAAGCTGGGGACAGCGCTTTGGTGAGACGAACTGTGGAGCGCACGCAGAAAGCCTCCCTCTTTGTGCTGTTGGGAGGCGCAGCACCTTGAACCCACGTGTAGACGTACATCTGAGGGAGGAAATTGGGGGGGGGTAAATATGTTATTATTTCTCTTTAAAATACAGGACAAAGGTAAACAGATGTTGTAGTCCCAAGTGAATTCCTACTGGTTTCAGTGTCTCAAATCTTAAGACATGCTGCTTTGAAGAGTGTAGAAAGTCTATTTTAGGCCTTACATGTTTGCTCTCTTTGTCGTTCTCATCCTCTCTCTGGTTCTGGCAGTCTTCTTTGGTGACGTTGACGGTGGTGCCAGTCAGGTTGGCCAGCAGGTGCTGGACCAGAAGGGTTGGTACGCTTGATTGCTGGGTCACGCCGACGTAAAAGTTTGTGGGCTTGTCAGCTGATAGACAGAAAAAATAAAGTCTTGTGTCTGGAAATAATGTAGCTGTCAAATATTTACCTCTAGACAAGCAGAGGATCCACCAGAGCAAATTCAGGTAGCTGAATGCCTTAAGGTTTTATTAATACAAGCAAGCAAGAGTAAATATACACATGTAAGTGGTGATATTTATCATTTCCCCCAGTGGCTTCAAAAGAAAACATATTCAATTATTTTCTCCCACTTTTGTATGAGTCCAGCAAATACAAAATTAAAAAAGGATTAGCTTGTATCCCAACTTACTCAGATGGCTCATGAGGTCAGAGGGGACTAGTTGCTGGAACCAGGAGTTATTTGAGCGAACGAGGAAACCGTACAGCATCCGGGTCACCTGAGGGAGAGAAAACAGTTACAAGAAGACACTTCTGCTCAGCTGCACACAAAAAAACATGCCAAGAAGCAAAATGTAAAAGAGGAAAATAAAAACAAACACAAAGAGAATAAAAGGATCTTAAAAGGGTAAGTGTCATGTGAGGGTAAGGGCCCTGACACGGCAAGCGGGCAGACCGTTGTCAGTTATTGTTGGGCCGTCAGTGAGCATCTGTCGCCCTTGTTTTTGCAGTGTGTACCACATGGTTGGCACAAGTTGGCCCTTGTCAGCTTTTTTTTGATTGATTCAGCATGGTGAATCGGCGTTGGAGCTGGTGGAGCCTGTTGGTGAATGAAACCACTCTAACAGTCTTCCAGTTTTCCTTTCTGAATAATGAATTCAGACTACCGCTGCCTGCTGCTATGGAGAGTTATTTCCTCTCACGCAGACGCAGAACATATGTACTAGTTGGCCCTTGGCTGAAGTCTTTGTAACATGTTCAGGTGCAACTTTTTGGTTGAGACACAGGTGATGTAAGGTGACACAACAGTCAGTCTCTGTCGCCACTAGTTCCTTGTTGCTGGTTTGGTTGGCAGTAAGGTGAGGGCTCAACAATAAAAACAGGGTGTTTGCACATTAATCAACCCCTAAGTTACAGACATTCTTAGGGATAATAATTTGGAACATTAATACCAATGTTGTTGCAAGAAAATTACATCAATTTTTGACACTGTATATCAAAAGATAATGTGCATTAGTGTCTTAAGTTCTCACTGTAAGAGAATGAAGTAACAGCAACCTCTAAATTTAAATTCAGATATAAAACGCTATCTTCAAGCTATTAAAGACCTTGACTTTAAATAAAATAACTACAGACATTTTAAGACTTTTCTCGGTTTTGCAATCTTCCATGTAGAGCAGTTGATCGGAGCAGATAAGCGAGGGACAAAGTACGGAGCTATTCAGGTGGAGAAAGGCTGTGGAGAAGGGACAGATAAAGTATATACTGGAGAAACAGTGAATTTGTAGATTAGATAGCTGAATAGTTTGAAACATATTTTACTAACTCCGAAATGAAAGCTTACTATTTGAGGGTCTGCGTTGATGCTGTTCAGCTGGGCTGCAGCTCCTCCTGCTTGTCTGTACAAAGCCCGGGCCACCAAGGTGGCCACTTCAGTCAGAGCCTGAATGATGCACGAAGAGAAATGCAGAAAAAACTTTATTAGTTGCTTCCCAACAACATCTGTGTGAATTTCTCAAAAGTAAATTATACAGTGGCAACAAGAAGACAGCTTAAATACTACCAGACTAGTTTTGACTTGTCCCAATAGAACTGACTGAGTCAGTGAGCAGTGAGAAAGGGTTGAGATGATGACACAACTACCTGCTACTCACAACTCCCAAACACAGAAAACTAAGATAAAATGAGTATAACTATTTTTTTTTTTTTTTTAGAATGAAGAATCGATCTCCAACGACATGACCCATCACTTATGTCTACTATACTCTATTTTTTTTATACTGTTCTTGGTTGAACATTTAAAGAGAAATGTTATGTTTTCTCAACAGCTGCTGTTTCTTTTCACCACCAAAATCAGTTGCAGAAGAGCAGCAGCCCTGAACATAGTACATAATCTGATATAGGAGGTTTCATGTGACTATCAGAGCAAATTAGAAAACTTTCAGCTGTCTACTTGAAATTATATCTGACCAACCACAGGAAGTGCAGCAGAAGGTGAGGACAGGCTTTGCAAAGCTGATTAAAGAGCAAATGATGATTAACAGTAATACCTTAGCAGTGTCAGTGAGAAACTCCAGTTGCTCTTCCGGTGACAGATTTGAAGGGTAAGATACGTTTAGGTACTCTGCATTATCGTACATACTCTCATAGAACCTGCACACAGAACAGGAAAAATAAATCAACAAAACATGCCAACTCCTTGAGGCGATGCAGATACTATGATTGTAATTAAATGTGACTGTGTGTAATGATAGTGAATCACCTGTTGGTGAAAGCAGACTGGTGATCCTCGATAACAATCCCAGGGATTGGCCGAGCTCGTAGGAAACGCTGGAAGGATGAGGGTGGGAGCGGCTGAGAGAAACCGGGCTCGTTCAGTGAGACGTTTAAACCTGTGGCAGCCAAGTGCAAGTTCTCTATGAGCGTCCTCACCTGAGAGAGATCATTCACAGAAATTAAAAAATAAATGTTATACATACAATAGGGCTAAATCTTTTATCGCTGTTCTGCTTCAATATCCAAGCCTACTCTTAAATGTTTATCTAATAGAGTTTTACAGTTAATCAACTTAGAAATCTGTGGACTCAGCCCCGCACGATCTGAAATCCTTTTTTGGTTGAATTTATGATTCAACAATACACTTTTGTATTTAGTATTTACTATATGTTGAATACAGTATCTCTAGTTTTATTTTTATGCTTCTTATTGTTCACAGTACATTCTTACAATGTTTATAGTACTCTTGTTTTAATCAGCCTCTCTAATCTCTTTCCCCATGTTGGATTTGGTTTAATAAATCATTCAGAAGCTCAGGCACTTCAAACAGTACATTTAAAAGGTACATTTAGATACATTATGCTATCAATTTTAATTTCCCCCCATAGGGACCATTGTTCATGTCTTGTGGTGGTTGAGTAGTGATGTATGAGGAGGAGGCTTTGAATATACACGGATACAAACCTCGTCATTGACACTGCTGTTCTTCCTTGACACGGGATCAGAGTGAAGCCACAGCCTGGAGTCAGCACGAAGTCCCACCTGAGGTGAACAGATTACATTTGTTGATATACTACACACACACAGACAGTGTTGGGGGTTACTGATGACTGAGTACATGCCCTTCACTGTAATTTGAAACAGATTATATTAGACTACTCAAACTAAGGGACATATTCTAAATGCTTTGGATTACTTTTGGAGTTCTTCAAAATCATCCTACTGAGCTCATTTGTCTGGGTCTTATAATTCCATGCCAAAAACACAGGGCAGTGTCCTGGCTATGCATTTCCTGGCGATTGCTGTGTGCTTGGTGCAATACTGCGTGCACAAATTGTTGCACTTTTTAAAAAACAATCTGTTTTTGGGCAATGTGTGCCTCATATGAATTTTAGATCAAATAAAACAAAAACCCTTTACGTAATGTATTTTAAAGACAGCAACTGTGTTCAGAAAACCACCAATTCCAAATGTGATAGAAAACAATTACTCATATTTTGTATTTTAAGTACGTTAAGCCGTTAAAACTCTGCACATTAACAAAAACATGATGTACATCTTATAACATTAAACTGATAAAAGGTCAAGCACATAATATTCTTTACTGATTTTGTTCACAGCAGTAATGTAAAGGGTACCAGATGCAGCTGTAATTATTTTGGCATCAACATGTTTGACATATTAAACAGACTAAAAATGTAGTAATAATATAAAACATGATTTTTATAGTTAATTATGGTTTCATGAGTCATGTTTGAAAGGCATCTGTTTAGGTTGGCTATCAGACCTTAATACTTTTTTTAACCAACCGAATATCAAAATTTGTCAAGTACCAAAAGTTGACTGATCAAATTACTTGTGTTTTTGATTATTCTTTGCTCAGATGCATTCTAATTTAAATCATATTTTTTTAAAGTTTTGAACAACACTGTTTTGGTATCTGCAAACTGGTATCTGAAATTCGGGTATAACATTGTTTCTAGTGTTGGAAAAAATTACAAGCAGCACCTTTCACTCTTTTTTTTAAATGTTTCTTTAACTATTCCCTTAAATTTTGATGGCTGTTCAGGTTGATATATACCAAACACAGTAGTTTACTGGAAAAGTTTACCATACACACCTGTCCTATCTCCAGCACTGAGTGAACATTATCCAGGTCCACAGCAAAGTTTTTGTTCTCCATATCATACACCATCCTCGAGCTGCCAATGTAGTCGAAGGTCTCCTGGAGTCAAATGGTTAAATATGAGTGAGGCGGGCAGTACATTAAATTTGGTATGTTTGTCAAGCACAGTGGTGCATACAGTGATGAGGTAATGACTGACCCCTTGAAAGAAGGTATAGAAGATGGTGCGGTTAGGTGGGGCCTCCTGGGTGGCATTTCGCAGAGCGTGAGCGGCTGCCAGCAGAGTGACAAACCCTGAGACTCCACTCTCTACTCCTGGAGCAACTTCAAAGAAAAAGGACCTGCTTTCCAGCTGCAGAGGGGAGGAGAAGGAGGTCCATCAAGCAGACATTGTATCTAGGTAAGCAGTTCAACTTGTAATGATCTATTTTTAAATCACAGCATAAATCAAAATGTGACCTCAGTTATGAGGAAATGCAGCCAGACTTCTGCTTTACCGACAATAAGTAATCTGCTGTTTTTTTTTTCCTCTAATGATTGATTTGTCTTGTTTTGTCTGACCAACAGCCTAAAAATTAAAAACACACAATTTACAATGATGTTAAATAGCTGATTTTTTTGCTGTTTTGTTCTCATAGCTCTTGTTCTCAACAACATAAAGCAGTAAAACACAAGAAGTAAAGCACAGAAATAATGCCAGTAACACAAACTGTAACGGTTACATCACATGGCATACAACACAAAGCAGGGTAATGTTAGACTGGCCTTGGCTTTAATACTGGAAGGCTTTCAAAGTGAGTGAGATCACTGCCGATACTGGCTGAAGAAATTTCAGCGGTGTTCATGAACTGACATGCTAATACCAACCAAATGTTGTACTGTTAGTGAAATACCAGTATAGGACTATTTCATCCTTTTTTTTAGGACTCTTTTCTGTAACTCACCCTAGCTGCTGCTATGACCACACTCTCCCACATCTTGTGGCCCTTGGCTGTGTTGTTGACAGGTTTGGTGGAGGCCCACACATTATAGTCACCCAGTGGGTCACAAACAATCTCTAAAGGGAGACACAGAAGAAGAACAAATATGGACTTACACAGATAGACAGACAGATAGATAGGTAGATAGAATACAACATCGCAAAGAGGCAGGTAGGAACAATAAGATATAAAAATAATAAAAGAGGGCACATCTTAATAAATAACAACATCCCCTGATGCAGTCAATTTGTGAATAAAGAACTTCATTCATCTGTTCTGGCTGGTTCTTGGGACCATAAATTGACAGCCAGACGGGAGCAGCTCAAACACTTAGTGTAATGGATGTGTGGTATGTGGAATTATATGGTTGGCCTCCTGCGTACAGGGCTATTAAATATATTGCAGAGTTGTTTCTATGACGTGCCAATCACCTTCCCTGCAATCTTAGAGCTTGTTTTTGCTCTTTGCACTCAGGGTGTAATGCCATGATGGTGTGTTAAATGATAAAGTGCTTTCAACCAGGCCTCTGTATGCCATTTCAAGTACGTGTTAGCTAACCCCAAAGCTCTTCAGCATCCTAATAAAAACAAGTGCTGATTGGCTTTCTTAAAATGCTCTTTGAGTTTTCATTAAAAGTTAGGGTCTGATCAATAATTGTGCCCAAATACTTAAAATGTTTTACTTTTTCTACAGGCAAGTTATTGAGTATGACAGCAGGATTAAAGTACATCCCTTTATACATGGCATTATCTTTTAGGAAAAGACCAAAAAGAGCCATATCAAGAGCTACATCATATTTATACAGCTTGACATTACTGCTGTGGGCAGTGATTCTATTTGTATAAATGCAAAACAGCAGTGGTTACAGCACGCAAAAAGCCGCTCTAATGGAGTGTCAATTTGCATAGTGTTAAGAGCAGCGTTAAGATCAATAAAACCGGCCACCGTCAGCCCATCAACCGGCAGTTGCCGATATATTCGGCAGTTGTGTGTGTAGCGGAGAAAAAAAAAAGAGAGGGGGATGTTGCATTCATGTGATGTCGGAAAGAATCGAAAAATGACTTTCAGAATGGGATAATTCACATGAATGCCACCTCATGTCAGAAAAATAACTGGGCGACTCGGATCTCCCAACACCACATGAATGCAGCAAAAAAAATGCAGCATGCTTTGCGAGCCCACTCATGTCCAACATGGCACGGAAATATCTGTGCATACCGGCAACAAGCACGCCATCAGAGAGGGTGTTTAGCACGGCTGGTAACATTGTTAACCAAATACGCACTTTGCTTAAGCCAGATAAGGTTAACATGCTCGTTTTCCTCTCCAAAAACATGTAAAACACTGTGTTTTTGAGTTAAAGACAGTGCAAAGGGACTTTATTATTTTATGTGATTTTTGCACTTTATTTTTCCATTGTTCTTTGTTTAGCCTATATTTATTATTATTTGTATTTATTTATTCAAGCAATAAGCCTACGAGAGGCTTTTAGAACAGCTATAACAGCTTAAGTTTTGTTGCCACGTCCGCAACGGCATTATCATAAAGACAGCGCAAAGGGAGTGGACATCATTATTGTATGTGATTGTGTGATTTTTGCACTTTATTTTTCCAATGTCCTTCGTTTATATTTACTTATATAACCAACTGTTTATTCTGTTTGAATAAATTTACCTGCGCCTTATCCTCTGACTGTGGTCTTTAATGTCAAAATTACTGAATTGAAATTTTACTGAAACATACAGCCTATAGGCTATACTCTTATTCATTAAAAAAAAAAAAAAAATCACCTTGAGATCTTTGCTGAGTAATAAGCTGTAAAGACAGGCTGAAGACGACTGTCCGGCTGCAGAAGGACGCATTCGCTCACAGCCTCTAAATCAGCAAACAGGTGGGAGAAAGGGATAACACACCTGTCCTACTAGAACGATCGGGGTGCACAACTGCACATCTTTTTTGATGTAGTTCTCAAATATGGTTTATGAATTAACGTTACGGCCGGGTTCCACCAGCTGCAAACGTAAGTGTCACATCAAGCGTCTTGTTTACCGTTTGCTGAGCCATGATAGTTAAAGCATTTTCCACTTAAGTTATTACATATATTTGAGTTATCTACAAGTTTACTGTAGGCTACTGTTTGTCATCTACTCGCTTTCAAATGTCCGCCATGGACATTTACACAATGTAAATAAATACAATAAACATGGGTAAATGCATGAAAAAAATCATCACATATCACCTCTGATAATGGTTTATTCATTTAAAAACACATTGTGCTCGTTTAGCACACTATTTCATGTAGTTTTTATTTGCTGGAGGGTCAAGTAGGGGAGCGTAGCGCAACAAAAATAGAAGAGCCGCCTAAAATAGAGAGTTGTCGGGCCGCTCCCGTTGCCGGTGGAGCCGCTGTAATTGATTAACAGGGGGGCGAGCTGCTACGGGACTCGTGCTGCAGACATGTCTCGCCGCTGACGTGCCCGGTGGGCCCCGGCCGTAACTTTCAGCTCCGTCATCACTGACGTGTTTTGTGAAAGACTCATCGGAAGTCAGTGTGAAGCTGCCAGTTCCAATATGCACACACTTTGAATTGTGCTCTACATAGTAATTATGGACTATATGTACCGAGTTGAATTCTGTGGAGACAGACCATTAATTTAGCAAAATAAAATAACAAAAATCGCCCCAAAAAATTGCCAAAAATGAAACCAACCGTGATGGACTCAGCCGATATATTTGTCCAGTTGCCCAAGCCTAGAACACATGCAAATTATTTTGGTTGATGTAGGTGTTTCGCTGTTTGGTCCACTATAGTGAGAGTAGCATCCTCTGTTCAACTGTGTAAATTATAAACAAACTGTAGGGGGTCGAGCTGATCCCCGACAGAGGACTTAAGATGGATGCTGACAACTTCCTCCATACACTTAGCTAAGAGTGACATGAGAACAACTGGTCTAAGATCTTTTAAAGATGTTGCTCCAGACACAGGCACAGGTCTTACTGTAGATGTTTTCCATTAATGTGGAAAAATACATCTATTAAGCAAAGTCTGAAACAACTGAGTGACAGGCCCTTTAAACTGGTTGGAGCATACTTTAAGCACCCTTCTTCTCAGACCATCAGGTCCCGGGGCTTTGTTGGGTCTGGTTTTGGAGAGGCACGTGTTTATTTTTGTCTCAGAAAGTTGAATAGGTTCATAGCTATCTATCTACTTGCAGATAGTACTGCAGCCTATTCTTCGGTTCCATTATACCTCCCATATTAAATGTTCAGACCTTAAACAAATTCACCCCAGTCTGCAGTATTCACGCTTTAACCATTGACTATTTCCCAGTATTTAAATAGATTGTATTTATTCGTGCTGTGTAAATACCTGGGCTGATGCTAAAATTGATGTCATTTCTCCTCATGCAGGTGGCTGTGTCAGTGACAGCAGACATGTGGGAGTAGAGCTGCATGGCACACAGCGGGTACTGAGGACTGCTGCCGTTCACAGGGCGATTGTGGTCCATGTAACACTGCAAATAGAGAAAATCATACATGGAAATCTCTTCATGTGTGGGTTGTTTTTTTTAACAGACACAGAAACCACAATCAAAATATGGTATATTAACAAACCTTAAATACTTTCCAATCCTAAGAACAAGTTGGAACATGTACAGCTGGGCCCGGTGCTCTTGCTCAGGGGCACACTGGCAGGTTTGGGCACAGGAATACTCTAACTACCACGTCTGGGACTTAATTTATCACTGTGACATCTGGGGATCAAACGTGAAACTGTTTACAGTACAGCTTCCCTCGTCTACCCTGCCATCTTACATGAAACAGGAAGTACCTGCAAAGTTTTAACTCACAGAAAGAAACTGTGACATAAATTCAGCCTCTCGACAAAGCCACTGAAATGTTTCAGAGAGCACAAAAACCGTGTCCTTCACAGAGCAGTACAAAGAGTTAACAGGCATGTTTAAATCTTAACTCCACCATTATCAGCAAGCTCAACCTGAAAGCTGAGATAAAAATAGAGAGTCGCGGGTCATGTTGAGCTCAGCAGCTCAGCAACGTTAGCTCTATTCTATGAAAACATAAGGCCCGCTGAGGGGGACGATCATATGCACACTTGCACAGCATCAGAAGCAGATATTCAAAACCTATGTAATATGATCTGCCTGTTTTTGTCACATACAATTATGGAAAAGCAGCTAATGATTTGTGGGTTCTGACAAATCGTCTCAACATAATGTGCCACAACATGTTAGCTTTAGAGAGGAGATGATCTTAAGTGCTGCTGAAGAAGCCTCATTGGCATCATGCCTAATCTTAATATCCACAACCTCAATTGGAACAAGTTCAGATTAGATTTGATTGTAACTGAAATGTTTGTAAAGGATTTCTCTCTCAAACACCAGAGGCAAATGGAGAACAATTAGACTGTCATTTTGTGACAGCAACTGTAAAAACAAAGTGATTACACCAAAGGGACTAACAGGGAAAAACATCTTTTTTGCAAACTTCACTGTCATATTACCTGTCGTATGACCTGAGTGTCATTGTCTTCTTTCAGAGAGAAGATGGGAAAGTCGTACTCCTCATAGGACAGACCGTTTCCCAAAGGGTTCCACATAGTCATGTTACAGTGTGCCATGGCTGGATCGTAGCTCTCTGTATACACGCCTGAGGGAAATACGCAGAGTGCAGTTAGCAGCTGTAACACTAAAGCAGGCACTCATTAAGTGTGTAGTGCATGAGCAGAGTCCTTTGACATCCACCCATTTTGTTTTTTGGCATTAATTAGGATTTTTTTTCATATTGATCAGTGTCAAAACAGCTGATGATGCAACTGTGGTTCTGGAAGTAAATGTCCCATTTATTTTCTCTTTAAACAATCTATTTGGAATGTTTCCCAGGCTTGGATGGGCATGAAATTGAACCGTCAGCACAACTGCATTAGAAAATATCTGATTCTCTGATGGCACAAGCCTGTGTGCATAAAAACTTAAGGGGAGAAGGTTACTATGACTACCGAATTGTATTTCAGCAAGAAACATCCAATCAATATGCTTAAAATTCTAATACAATCCACAGCTTAAATCATCTCAGTATTGAATTCTGGGTTAATTTAACAACTATAGTGCTGAATTTTGTTCAAAATTAAACAACAACACATTTTGAATATGTTACAGGTCTGACTGAATTCTTCTCTATAGCAATGGTGGCAGACGTTAATGAGTACTGTAGTATTTAGGGCCATCCACCAAGCTGACGGACATGACATGATACCTTAGAAATTAAACTGAAATAATTAAAACTGCTGGTCATCACATAAACCTGTAGCATTTTACATTAAATCATGAAAAGGAACATTTTAAATGGGAATACAGACTTGGGAAAAAAACCCTTCCAGAACATTGTATAATAACAAACCATGAAGTTTAGCTTTTTAAAAGTACTGTACTATGACCTATTGCCCTGTGTGTCTCAGGCTATTCTTGCCCAGTTAAAAAAGTAACTCAGGTCACACATGCAGCCTTTAATTTGTGATACCTCTGCGACACAGAATAAATTGAAGGGTAGAAATAAAATGATGAGACATTAAATCTGTTTTGTGAGGTCACACATGACTATATGGTGACACTACAATGTTACAGAAACAGTTCACACAGCATGAAAACTGAACCCACTACAGCTTGTACTTTCATGTGCTGTGCCCTCTGAAGATCATAAAACTACAATTCATTTCTTTAACTGGTGTAATACTAAGGGACAAGTCTCAGCAGGCAAACCCTCACTCACCTGTGTTCTCGTTGGGGCAGGTGGTGTGTGGAGAGAAGCCCTCAAGCGGGTTGGTGTTTGGCGCCACAACAGCGACGCCAGCCACCCTGCCGGAGCTGTTTTTCAACTTCATCATGATGGATCTGATGAACAGACAGACGGCATGGGGCAGTGGAAACGATACAGGTACAAATACAGGTCAGACATGGGTTTGAAATGTGGTTCAAGTGTCTTCCCTCAGGGTTAAACTAAAATTTCCCATTTTAACTGTAATGCAGATCTCTGCTACTGGCAGCTTATGACTAATTGGGTTTTACTGCCGTGTCCTAATGTTAAAACATCTCCCCTCTCTGCTACTCTAAATAGAAAAAATGTTACATACCTGAAAGAAATGATGAGGACTTACTAACTACTAGCACTTATTTTCACTATTATTTAACACATATATCTGTTTGGAACAGCGATAAACCATCTTGATTTCTAACACAGTAATACAATGCAGTATTCAATGACCCTTACTCTCATTAGGAACTACTGTAGGTACTCCCTCTGCAGAGTGAGACATGTTAACGGTACCTGTTGAAGAGCTGCGACTCCAGGATAACCAGATAAGGTGGATTGGGCCCAGTGCGCAGGACCCAGTCCAAGTTTTCCTCTGACTCGAGCACATGGAGCACGCCCACATTACCTGACAAATGGGCTGAAGTCCGAGAGAGGAAATTAAATATCAGCATCTGTCATATGAGGTGCAACAGCTGTGCTAGATAAAAATGTCCTTAAAGCTTATTTGACCACTGTGTGTGTGTCCACCAGACCTGTTCTCTTTTAGCGGAAAGGTTCTAGGATGAAACATTTTGATGCAGCAAAGAGAAAACTGCTGCTGCTGCTGCTGGGGCTTTTGAAGTTAGACAACACTACCATCTAACAGCTTCCAGTAGTCAGATATTAATCACAGAAAATGTCTAGTTCATCTGCAACTTCTGCGCAAGTTACCCATCTCTGAGCGCAGGTATGATCGTGAAAATGTCCCCCGGAAATGTACTCTTTGTTTGACTGGCAATCGAGGAGACGAATATCATTATGTACTTGTGTGTTCTTTTTTTGATAAAGAGAGAAGAGAGTTGGTCGGACAGTTCTATAGAGCAAATCCAAATATTTATAAGTTTCAAAAGTTAATGTCATCTCGAAAAGTAAAGGTCTTGTCAAATTTGTTGAAACTTTTAAAGAAAATCTTGAATAGTTTCTCTTGATTTGCTTTGACTTGTATGTATGTACACAAATTCTGTTTTATTTATTTTGCTGTGCATTGGCTGCCGCCTGTTCTGATTTGTTAATGTTATTTTTTGTTGTCTGCCCCGGGGAGGAGTCAAAAGGAATAAATGAAATTAAATGAATCTACTTCTGAAATTCAGTGCTGACCATCAAAAATCTTTGAAAACACTGTTTTCAGTAGACTGTGTAGTAGGCATTTTACTCACAAGTACAAACAAACAAAAAAAAAACAAGTGAAAGAAAGACACTAAAAGGCCAAAAGCATACACACTCTACACTTAAGATTTACAACCTGTAACAAGTATTTCTACTTGTCATGAGTGTCCCAGATGCTCGTTGGACTCTCATGACAAGTGCTTAGCATCACTTTAATCTATTGCTTTACTCACACTGGCAGCCTATTTGATGAGTTGCATTGAGCAGTCGCACACACGGGACAGTGTTATTGAGATGCACATAGATTTTCTTTTCCACTGAATTACAGCCGACACCTGCAAAGGAAAAAGCTCTTTAACAATTGCAACAAGGAGAGCAATATAACAGAAGGTATAGCTTTTATCAAGACTACATGATGAAGAAAAAAAATCGCTGTCACAGATGAGTTTGTTTAAAGTGATCTGAGAAGCTAAAATGAAAGTCACACCCTTTAACTCTCACAAGCAGAAGTGCATTTCTAATTTTAGATTTGAGACCACATCTCTTTTGAATAGATAATCTGCATAAGGCAGCTGACGTTTTCACTATGAAGAAAATCACAGGCAGGTGCTTTCAAAATGGTGGCAATGTAACTCAGACAAGTATACTTACTTTGTGAACCCAGTGCCCATTGCGCTTATTTCAAGACACTGGTATGACTTTCATCCAACAGGCCAACATTCAGCGTTTTCAAAACAATTTGCGCTCCTCGGCTTTTTACACCTGTTGGTCCCAAACCTTTCCCACAAAGCCGTAGTAACGTTAAAGTACTTTTTAACCCCGTTTTAATTAAAACATAGAGCTGTTTTGGTGGGTCACCTGTATGCCGAATTTACTAGGGCACCCTAAATACTTGAAAGTCACTTCATTTGTGATTCACTTGCTTTGAGATTTTTGTGTTAACCAAATTAACATTAAACAACTAAAGATTATTGTGTAATTTGGCATAACGTTCAAGCATTTAATCCCTCGAGCTCCGGGCGGCCGCGGCAGGGGAATCACGAGCAGTCACGCTGATGCTGGGTCGTTCATATCAAGAGGGCAGACCCAATCTCTGACTGTCTCAAGAGAAAACTCATAAAAATGATTGAATAAAAAGACAACTAGACGTATTTCTAAACTTCCAATTTATGGAGATGGGTTACGAATTGCTGCAGCGCTGGACCTCATTGTAAAACTTGTATTAAAAAACCCGGCAATCGAGAATGAAGCCGAACAGGGTAGCTTTTGCTAATGCTAACTAACCTAGCATTCGGCTAGCTCCGAGCACAAAGAAGTACAAAAAGCTGACCGCCTGATAAAGAAACACACTCCGCTCATTAACAGATACGTACACATGTAAATTGAGCACTGTTAGATTACAACTCACCGATGAAAAACCAACAAACAAGCAAATTAACGATCCATTTGTTCGACATCAAATCCATCTTCCTGGTTTGAAAAGCAGAAGAACACAACAGTAGGTGTTGACCTGGATAACGTCCGGGTTCCGCTGTTTGGTTCCGCTCCCGTGAAAGGAGACGGACTCATTCAAAATGGCAGCACTGGATCACTGCAACCAGAGTAGTCAAGTTTTCTATGTTTTTTAAAATTAGCTCAGGGTCAGGTGAAAGATACGATAACGTAATATACTTGTGTCTCTCATTTCAGCACTTTGCCACCATGTTTTTATTTAAGGGAACAACTGCCAAGTAAGGAATGAGTCAACTCTGTACTTACTTACCTCATGGGTCATGACTCAGCCCTTGGTGCACTTTTGATATTCTGAAACCACTTTTATATATGCAATAAAACTATCATCATTCAGTAGCATTGGCTATAAATCTGTGCCCACATACCACATCAAAAACAAAACACGCCCACTGCATTTCCTTTGATAGAAGCATTTTTATTTTCATTTCCCCGCAGATACACAAAGCAGTGCTGCTCACTTTTATTTATTCATCCCATACAAGTCAGAAAAGACATAACAGGTTTACAGCTCTAATAAAGCCACAGCACAGAGGTGACATTGCAGAAGTTACAAGGAATAGTTTTTGCAGAACAGGTAATACATGAAATAAGATCGTTAAAAGGAATAAAGAGGTTTAATATATCACTGTGATCAAACATACATATCTATTTTATTTCTCATGTCAATAACTGTATTATTTCCTCAGAGTAAGCGTTGATTTGTTTGTCTTTTTCTTCTCCACGTCCTCTTAGCGGAACTGAAGGTGACTGACGCGCAGACCTATCACATCCTTACCAATCTCTGTCACCTAAAAAATAAGGTGAAATTAAAGGTTAGAGGTTACAAGGAGTGAACACCGAACAAGATAATAACTCACCGCTGTAGTGACAGCAGAGACACAGACACTTTAATATTTTAATACTTTATTGTATTTCAGGCTGTATTTCAGGCAGAGAAGTAAGTCTCAATATATGTTTTTCTGACTAACAATTAAAAACGAGATTTACAAATGTGTATTACAATTTGTTACTAAATTAAGGTGTTCACAAATGCGTTGTCCTTATCCACAGATACCACACAAGGAATAAATAAATATCAGTGTTCATCTTATGTGATTAAGTTCATTAACTCTGTAAAATTTGCTTTTAAAGTGTGTACTTATTACTATTATTTAAACTATTCTCTCTATATACCATTGTGACTCTGATGGTCTATTACTTTAAAGAGCTTTTCAGGTTGACAGCAGTTGCACATGGCTGTCCCTAGTCTCGACCTACCTGTGTGACCCTGCAGATTTGGCCTTTGTAAGTAGGACAGTAGCAGGCTCCAGACAGAGGGCACTTCTCAACAGGGCGTCCACGGTACAGAGGGACGAAGGAGGCGGCGCACAGGTCGAATGGATTGTGGGGGTCGTAGTTCAACTGGTGGGCATCTGTGAGGGTCTTCTCACAGGCTGCCAAAATCTTGCGGGTCTGAACAGCAGGAAGAGATTTAACATGATGGTAAGAGATGATAAAACAGTATAGCTGTGACAAATTAAAACTGAAAACACTAAATGAAGCTGTGGATATCACATAACTGACCTGCTGTGCAACATCTGGCTTCGGCCCCAGCTCGAGCAGGCGTCGAGCAAAGCCTGCAGCTGTCTTGAAGTTACGCAGTTTGAAGAAGAGGTTCAGAGCTGTGCGCAGCACCAGCACCATATGGACTGGCTGGAGATTACAGTGAGTGAAATACGCAGCCATCTGTAGGGAAAAGACACACACAGAGGACAATTAGGCTTAAGAATGAAATAGAGGTATGAAAATGATCACTTTGTAGACATCTTGGTAGATTTGGAGATGGTCTACAACACAGAAGGCCAGATATTTACCTCACACAGCCTCTTCTGCTGGTCCAATGTGTCTTTAGGCAACTTCTTCCTCTCCGTCTCCATGGTCAGACCCACTATGTACTCCCTACAAATTGTTATCAGCTGCTGAGCCTGAAACACACACACACATCCCAGTCACAACCAACACATTTAATAATGTCAAACTTCTAAATATATTTAGGTATATTTGCCAAATACACAACCTGCAGCAGCACATGGGTTTGCATGACAAATAAGCATGGCTGTGATTATCAGCTGGTTTGGTGCTCACCTCTGCAATCTCCTGCTTGTTATCAACCACCAGCAGAGGTACAGACAGCAGGATGACTCTGAAGCGCTCGACAGCTTCTTCAAACCGCCCAGACGTAGTCAGCTGGTAGCACTGCTGCAGGCGGGCGATGAGGTCGGAGAGGCGCAGGCCCACAGCAGGCAGTCCTTGCTTTGCGCCACAGTCCTAGAAAATTAAAATATTTGTATATATTAACATTTACTAACAGAGTGATTAGAGGCAGGAAAGCAGGAATAGAACACACTGTCAATCTTACTAAGAGATGACAAAAAAATTCAGCTGTACCTTCCAGTTTCTCTGGGGATGGCCACGCAGGCAGGGCAGGGAAGGCAGCCCCAGGTAACAGGTGCGGCCTCTGGACAGTGTCTGCATGAACAGTGACTTGTAGGGGTCGAAGTTTACAACTCCTACCTGGTCGTGGAGCAACTGTGGTACAAAAAGGAGAACAGTAAATGACAGTATAATGCTAGAATTAACATTACAACACTGCTATTCAGTCTGTGTTTATATCTAAAAAAAAAAAAACATGTAGGAAATCAAAATCAAACTGTGTACATACTCTCATGGCAGTTTCGAAAGAGCCAGCCAGGATGTGATCGACTGGCAGCTGGGAGTTGTTGCACCACATCTGTGTTGGACTCATGCCCTTAGTAGGTGGGACAAAGAAGCCATCTTCTGCTCCACCACCTCCACCAGCCGGCATGTCCTGATGGATGAGAGACAGATAATGTAATAAGAAATTTACTGTTAAGTTGTAGCAGAGCACAAAACTTGTCGGTACAACGTTTAGCTACAGCACTGAGAGAATTTGGAAGATTGGTGGCCTGTTTCACTTCCTTTAGGGTCACAGCTAAAATCAACACTGCTTGTGTCTAATGGTAATCCTGTTCTATTGGCTGTCAGATTTGCAATGATGTAGCTCCTCTCACCAGCTCTGGAGGAAGGTCCAGGTCTTCCTCCACCTCCCAGCCTCCTCCCTCCTCTTTGATTCCCCCTTCTTCCCCAAATCCTTCCTGAGCATCCATGAAGCCATCTGAGAGACAGAGAAAGATGGGACAAGATAAATATCAATTTATATAACAATGTGATATAGATGATGTGAACCAATGCTCCCACTGAAAGGTCAGTTTTAAAATACTGTTTAAGTTACACTGAATTTACCTTCATCCAGCTGAAGCTCTGCATCGTCTCCCCAGCCCTCACCTCCTGGGGCGTCCATGTCAAGGTCGGCAGCCATCTGACCTGCCTTACCTACAACAGAAAAAAACACTGCTCTTACTCTGCTGCAGGTTTTCACAACTTATAAAAGTCATTTCATTTTATTTTGACATACAACATTTGGGAAACACTTCTCACTGGTACACTCTTTATATATTGGTATGTATATGTAGTATATGCATTGTGATTAAATACAGTTTTGTATTGAGCATCTGTCAGGACTGCAGACTCACCCTTTGCTGCAATAGCTCCCTCAAAGAAGCCCTTTGATACAGTGAGCAGAGGCCAGTTGGTGTCAAGAGGGTTGATGGGTGGAGGAGGCTGCAGCAGCTGTGCATTGGGATCAACCTCTGGCACCTACAAGACATCAGATCCACCATTACTTTAATCAAAACATAATGAAGGCTTGTGTTTCAGACTGCATGTTATGGTTGTCTATGTTGTGTGTATGAAGGTACACAGAATGTTTTTTTCTTAACACACCGTCTCCTTTTCTGGGTCAAAGGTCTCCTTTAGTGCCTCAGCCTCTTCATCCAGCCCATGAGTGGCTGCAGTCAGGTAAGCTAGAGACTCTGGAAACGTGCACACAAATAGTTATACATGTTGGCCTCTTGTTACATTGCTTACAATTAAAACAACAACACTGTTTTGGTAAGCACAACTGTGATGTGGTAGAAATTAAGAGGATTTAATCTGAGTATTTCTCACATTTTATTAAAAAGAAATAAGCCCAAAAAAAGTCAAGCTAGCAAAACAGAGAAAATATAAATGAATATATGATGAAGGTGACGCTTGAACTCACTTTGCCCACAGTTCTTCAGGATGCGGACCCTCTCACTGACATCTCCCAAGTAGAGAGCTGCCTGATAGTGACCACTCATGTCCTTCCTGATCTCAGCTACAAACAAAGTGTACACAAATATTAGATACAAGTTCACTGACATAAAAGACACACAAACCTCCAATCACATCCCCACATCTTTGGCACAATAACAAGACATTTCTCCATCTCTCACCGATCTTCATCATCTTGCGCAGCTTGGCCAGGTTGCCAGTGATGAGGTAGAGGAAGGTGAGCTTGTCAAAGTTCTTTGTCCTCTGGTAGCACATTTCCACGACCTGGTGGTGACCCTGCAGCAGTGCCGCTTCACCCAGACGCTCCCAGCAGCTGCGCTCATCCAGGGCCTTGGCTGCCTCCAGAGCAACCTGAAGGTACAGAAAAATACAAGTTTAAAAAAGTGTACTTGAACCTGGGTCTCATGCAAAAATGAAAGAAGAAATATAGCAACATGTCTACTAATGTGCAAAAACAGAGTTCAGGAAAAGTGCATGTTGTAAATAAGAAAAAGAGTCCTAATCATACAGTCTGCACAGCAGCAGCTCACCTCAATGTTTCCACACTCCAGAGCCAGACTGAAACGTGTCTTCTCATCTTTGACAAAGTGCAGTGCCACCTCAGGGTAACCCTTCTTCTGCAGGTAGGCAATGATGGACTGGCCCACCAGCTTGGCATTACGTACCATGTGGAGCACCTGGAGGAACAACAATAAGAGGAATGGTGTCAAAACCAGCATTTGGAAACTTAATACTTGTAAGTACAAAGTTTGAGAGGTCAAAAATGTCTTAAGGAAAAAAAA